TCATCACCTCACCTAGCGCCTCTCGACCCATGGTTAGTTCTCTTCCTGTGTTGTCTGCTCCCAGTTTGGTATTCATGTCGCCCATTAGAATTTTGATGTTGCTAACTGAGGTCTTGTCCAGTGTTGATTGAAGTTGTCTGTAGAATTCCTCCTTTTTCTCTTGCTCTGCATTATTTGTAGGTGCGTAGAGTAGCATTGTATGATTGTGACCTTCCTTCCTTCCTTCCTTTTGAGTTGAACCTTGTTGTCATGATCGTGGAGGAGATTGGTTCCCACTGCATGAGAGCCTTCGATGCTCTTGAGAGAGGGACATCATGATAGCCACTCCAAAACTCAGTGTGCTCGTGGTTGTCGTGTCGTCTGAGTGACAATATCGGAGTAGATTATTGATTCTCTAGTTGACAGTTTGGAGAGTCCACTCCCATTCCATCTGCTTTCACAAATTCCTAACACTTCAGTGTGATACCTTCTCATCTCGTTTGCAATCTGGGCTGCCTTGCTGGGTTCAAACATGATGTGTACATTCCATGTCCACATGTTTACTTCCACTTTCATCGAGAGAGAGAAGACACATTGGTGAATTGGCTTCCCGAAGACAGGCTTTCACCAACTGGCGTCATTTCGCCTCTCCGATTCCAGCGGGGAATAAGTTTGTTTTCATTTTTTATATTTTGTTTGTGCTTTGAAGTTTTTTTAGCGGTTAGATTTTTTTTTCGGTGTAGGGTTGGTAGCCCTATGCCCAACCTTCCCTCTTTACCCGGGCTTATGACCGGCTAGTAACTAGTTAACCAGGCGAGGTTATAAACAGTTGTAGGTCTACTCTAACTCATTTGCAAATTTTGATGAAAGAGATTTAGGTAACCGAAGGACATTTCTCTCATTCTCAACAGGTTTCATGCTTGGTGTATTTGGAATGACTTGGATTATAATAAAGGAGTCATGATGTTTTAATCATCTAAATCTCTATGATTTTATTCGCTGTGTAAACTGCAATGTAGGTAAACAGCTTTTAGATATTCTAGCAATTGCATAGTCATCGTCGACATGTTTTAGCATCTGAGAAGTTTATCAACTGTTCAACTTTAGGGTAAACAGAATGAGTTGAATTTTTTTTTATGTATGCCAGCTGATGAACTGGACCCAAAATGAATGTAATGAACCTTCTGCATATAGGTCACTGTGATTCTGCTTACAAAACCTACAGATTACCAAAAAGGATATCTAACTATTCACATTGTTCAGTAGTTATATATTCAGTTTAAGATTCATGGGGATGTATTTATTTCAAGGCAGTATTCCTCACGAACTGAAATGAGTTGAAAAACTGTTGAAAACTTGGAAACAATGGACAGCTGACTAGCAAAAGAATCCAGGACGCGCGTTTCACCATATTTGGGAATCATGAGCTGGATGTACGTGCACCTCATAGAGTGATGTTGTTCCCATTGAGACTCGAACCCCGTACTTATCGCTTTAAACGTCAATGCGTTATCCACTATGCCACGGAGGCACGATCAAGCAAATTATCATGACTAACATACAAGGAATATCAAAGCATCCGCATAGGAGCTCATGTGCCAGCAGATGTTGAACAATTTGGTCCAATAAAACAACGGAGAATCACAAGTGTATCAGTAAACAATAACTACTAATCTTGATTTAACTACGTTTTCGTGTTTTGCTATTCTAATCGACCTTGGTCAACTACTTTAACTTATGTGTCTGACCTCGCAACCATTGGAAGGGATCTGGTAGACCAAATTATTTTTACTTAATTGCATTAACAGGATATTTTAAATGCCAATTTAATCTCAGCCTTGTTGGGAATTCTTCGTAATACTTATGAGGTGCCTTCCTTGTATGGTAACATAGTAGAGGCTTTGAATTCTCTCTCAACCCTGTCGGCAGAATTATTATGAATACCACCTGTGTTACTACTACTACTACTACTAGTAATATTTTTCTTTCCATTTCTTATGAATTTATTCATGAATTTCGGTGGGTAATTATTCAGATGTAGAGTATTCTTGTTGTGTCTAATTTCTTGTCGCAGACTTTCCGATGTACTACTACGGTTTCCCGCTCTATCACTTAAGCAATCTGCGACAAGAAATTAGACACAACAAGAATACCCTACATCTGAATAACTACCCACCGAAATTCATAAATAAATTCATAAGAAATGGAAAGAAAAATATTACCAGTAGTAGTAGTAGTAGTAACACAGGTGGTATTCATAATAATTCTGCTGATAATAGTAATAATACTGACAGGGTTGAGAGAGAATTCAAATCCTTTACTGTGTTATTATACAAGGAAGGCACCTCATAAGCATTACGAAGAATTCCCAACAAGGCTGAGATTAAATTAGCCTTTAAAATATCCTGTTGATGCAATTAAGCAAAAATAATTTGGTTTATCAGATTGCGAGGTCAAGTACATAGGTCAAAGCAGTCGACCAAGGTCGATTTAGAATAACAGAGCACAAAAACTTAGCAAATTATCAAGATTAATAGATCCAAAAAGATAAGAAATTTAGAGAAAAGCTAGGCTATAGCTCTGCATGCGATGACACACAATCACACAGTAGGGTGGGATCGACAGTATCAAAAGCTAACTTGGTTAGGCGGGGGAGAGATTGAAAACCAAATCTTTGTTTATCAAGTCAACACCAAATAGATGCAATCGAAATGATTCTGTAACTGTTCCAGATATATGGAATATGTAAACTCTGTCTCAACCTGATATGAACATGGAGAATAAATTATGTCCCGAACGTTATCCAGTAAATGCCACTGTTTCACTATGTGACATTGGTATTGAATTTTCGAGGGAGTTGTGGAGATTTGGAAATATTTCAAGTTGTTATTCATCGTAGACTGACATCAGTTGGAGGAACAAAGGAAACCTGGGAGCACTGGACAGCTGTTTCGTCCTAGTATGGGACTCCTCCTTTGTTCTTCCAACTGATGTCAGTCTACGATGAATAACAACTTAAAATGGCATTATTATTATTATTATTGTTAGTATTACTAATGTTTAGCTTAAGTTTACACTTTCATTATTAATCAAAAATAAACTAGAGGAGAGAGTGAATATCAGGTGGTCAGGTTGTACAGTTTCTACGTACACTTCGTTCAGAAATAATACTCCTTAGTGTTTGTACAAACTTCGTTGCCTTTTTTTTCGCTCAAACTTGAACATGGAGAATATTTTAGTCAAATGTTTGTTAGTTGATTTGTTTAATTATCATTTTATCTTTCTTGTTTATTTATTTATTTATCTAAACTTGTTTATTCAACACGTTAATTTTAACCCCTGCAGATTTGAAGTTTATTCTAGTATTGTGTTTCCACACTTTTTCAGTTACTGATACTTTAAACACTGTTTCACTGTGTGCTGTGTAAAAGAAATGGTTATTACTTATTCTGACAATATATATATATATATATATATATATATATATATATATATATATATATATATATATATATATGATTAATATTGCAGTATAAAATGCTTCTTTGATTATAAATTATTGTAGGCTAGTTAACAGTGCAGTCTAAGGCATGTGTTTCATCCTGGACATAATACTCATCAGTTGATTGTACATGTTACTGTATTCTAGTAGTTGTTAGTTAGTTGTCCACTTCTGAGTTTAAAGATATCATACAAGTTTTACAAAATATATCCACAGATTTTATTTCTTTTCTAAACTGGAAGTACTTAATTATGATAGAAATGTAAAACTGTTAGAATGAAAATAGAGAAATCAACACTCTCCTGTATTAAATCATTGTATTCATTGTATTGTTTTTAATTGACTTATATCTACCTATAGGGTATATGAATAATCATGATTCATAGTGAATATTGTGGCGATTTTCATTTTTTTTCTTCTTAATAATAATAACCTTTGCTCAAAGAGAAGAAGAGGTAAAGAACTGATAACTGATCTGAGTAACACTTGTAAATGTATGTTGCTTTTGTAATATTCATTTTTTTTTACAAGATGATTGATGCCTAGAATGATATACTGGGTAATGATTGAAGGTGAGATGAAAATCTGAACCGGAGCCGGATTCGAACCATCGACCACCGGGTGACCGACCCAGTGCTCAATCATCACCCAGTACAAATACTAGTCTGTCAAACTACAGCTATCTTAGATAATCAAATCATAGCCTAGAATAATGTTGTTGCTTTCTCAGTTGTAACTTGAATACAAACTAATTGAAATCAATAAAATGTAGTGTCCAGTTTCTTGATCATTAGTCGGTGAATACAACCGTGATTGATTTCATAGAATTGAGTTTTTCAGTACATGAATTAGATATTGATAAGATTATAATGTATCCTGATGTATCTCACTTACCATCCTGTATCTATTTCTTATGTGAAAAGGGAATTATTCTCATTTTCCTTCTACTTCATTGTTTTTTCATGGTGCATCCCATAAGCTATAATTATATACTGGATGTAATAGTAGATTTGTATCGAGTTGCTCTTATTACACCTAACACAATATCTCTTTACTCTAAACAATAAAACTTATATATACCTTTCATATACTTTAAATGAAATGGCTATTTTATAAAGTATTCAGTGAAACTTAATCATTTATATAGTGTATGAAAAGTTCAACTTCTGAAATCAGTTTTGTTTCAATTTTACAAAATAAACAGCAATGATTTTGCCTGTATATGCTACAAGTTGAATGTTTGTCGACATTGAATATTCGAACACTCCTTTCACATGCCTTAATCAATGTACTACCAACTAATGAGTTATGGTATCAAACCTATTCCACCTCTTTTGGTCCTAGAAATTGGATACCACTATTAGCCTGAAGTATTTGCTTTACCTTACAATCTATTACTTCAACGTAGAAGAAATTTCTGATTCTCATTCAATTTGAACTGTGTAAAGTTTAGTCATTGTACAATTTTCAATGTTGTATTGTTTTACACTTTTTACATATTACATATTTTTCTTCATAGGATCAGATGTAATCGGTGGTTCTATAAATCTAGCTAGCATTGTGTGGGTGAAGGCAACGCATGTTGGTGAAGATTCTGCTTTATCTCAAATCGTCCGACTTGTTGAAGAGGCTCAAACATCGAAAGTAAGTTTATAATCACTTTTATAATGAATAATTTTTCTGTTTATTTCCATATTCATTCTGTTAGATGGCTATACAATAGTTTGTCCAATAGATACTTATTTCAGCTGAAATGTTATTCGTTTTTAAGTATATTAGATAACCATCAGTAATTTATATATTTCGACGATTGTAACTTCTTCAGTTCATTGGCTAGATATACTTGTGTTCTTTCTTTCTTACCTTATTATTTCACGTGATACAGTGCTACTCTAACTCAATGGTCAGCTCATGTTAAAAGAAAGTGAAGCTGAAATTTAATACTGTAGTATAAACCTGTTGTCTTCTTGTCTTTATGTGTGGGTAATCCCCAAACCTCCTGGATGATCTCTATGAGATGTCGAAAATTCATGATTATACACGACAGGTGACATAGCTGAACATTGATCTAATTGATGCAGACAGACCCACTGTTCCAGTCTTTTAAAACCTTGATATATTCTGTTCCTATATGTTTTCTGACTTGTTTTCTCTCTGTTCAAAGTAGCATGTAATTACTGAGGTGGTTTTTAACATCTTGCTGTTCATAGTTATTGGTTTCAGCTTCTAGTCTTAATTCCAATATCATCCTCATCCATCAACATAGGACCAGGAATCACTGCGTAACGGTCCGTCTTGCCACATTTCATGTCAGTACATCAAGTAAAAAGATAGTGAAGTGGAAGATGAAGATAAGAAAATTCACTCAAAAGAAATATAAAGTACTAAAAGAGAGAAAGGAAGAATAGTAAGATGGTGAGATTCTGTATGGCGTCGTTAAGATGAGGATAATGTGTGTGTACATCTGCGCCACTGACATCGGTTCTGAGCCATATCACATAGAGTCTCCAGTTACTAGTTTCTCTTGTCTCGTGGACCCCAACCACGTAGCCTGCATCGCCCCACATAGCTCAAACCAACAGTCAAAGACTTCATACATTGATGCCATGTTATAGTCTGGCTGCCTCAAGCCTTTTTCCAACCTGAACCTACTTGGCCTACATTGTGTGACGAGGCAATCGGCGACTAGGCATACGTAACACATATCTAAACCATCTCAGTTGCAGTATAGCACATCGTATGCTGTAAGTTATGTTAGCCATCAATATTGAGTAATTTCATATTGCAGTCGATTTAAATGCAGGAAAATCCTCTCTCAGTGAAGATTAATTGAACCAGTCTAAATCAATCACTAGATTTACCATTCACCGTAGTTGTTCCCGAGTCCTAAGCGATAATCGTAGTCTATCGATCAGATCTGCAAAACAGTCAGTGAGACGATATTGTAGTCTTCTTCTTTAGCTTCATGCACTTATAGACTGAAAGTTAAATGTGATGTCCATTCCATTTTTTCTACTCAACACAATTATTGTTTCGTTTGAAGATCCTGTGAAGCAGTGTCTCCTCACTGGTTTAGGGAGATGATTTTCAACCAGTGGGTAACGGGTTCGAACCCTACCCCACCTACTGTGGTTTTAATAGTCAGGTAGTATCACTAGCCTTTACACAACGGTTATGGCTCATCACCTGCTGCATGGATGTACACAAGGTTCGATCCATGCTGGGTTGTAAGTGCACACCTCTGAGACATCTCACACTAGGACGAAACATCTGTCTTGTGCTCTTAAATTTCCATTGGTTCTCCAATCGACCTCAGTTTGTGTTGAATACTATCCTGAGACTATTATTGTTGTCGACTTTTAATATGACAATGTTTTTCATTTTTGATTCAGGTTTGTTTAACTAATTAAGGACACTACGTAACCGTTGCTTTTTGTATTTTTTTGGTCTGTTCAAGGCTCCAGTACAACAGCTTGCAGATCGTATTGCAGGATATTTTGTTCCATTTGTATGCATTGTGTCGCTGGCAGTTTTGATCATATGGATTCTACTGGGATTCTTGTTTCCCACTAGTATAAAAGGCTATGAGGCAAGTAGTTTCTAGTACAATACATACATTACATAATGATAATAATAATAATAATCTTATTCCATGCAATATTTTTGTGTACAGTAAGAATCCCTCCGTGTGTATTGTTGCAGCAAATTCACTCTGGATGCAGCATTTTCAAACGAAATAAGAATATAGTAATAAAACTTGGGCAATGTGGTAGATTGTAATTCCATTTTGGTCTGTTTATTTGGTGTTTCACTCAGTGAAACAGTATTATTTACTGGATAACGTGTTGGACTTGATTTTTTTTTTTCTACATTCAGATCAGGTTTGATTTGAAAAAAAACTTTCATATGCGCTAACAAAAGCATCTGTATTGTAAAAGATTTATTTACTACACGATTCATTTATGAGATTTCTCTCTATCCACAGTAGTTAAAAGGCAGTTGAAATTGAAATGTACTTAGCAACCTTGTGCACATTCGGGGAGTAGGCAATGAGCCACACCTGTTGTGCGAGGAGTTATGATACTACCTGGTTCCTCAATGCGCTTGGTAGGCGGAGTGGGTTCGAACTCGTGACTCATTTGATGGAAGTCAAGTGCCTACACCTATAAGCCACAGGTCTGGTGATCGGTACCAAGGCCATAGTTTAGTTGAGAAAGGTGCTTTGAGCGTAAATGGCACCTTTGATTATGCTAGAAACAGTATGTAGGATATTGACAGCATCTAAAGTACTTCTCTATCTTCAAAGAAAGCTGCTTTGTTCAACAAAAGACCTTCAGCAAAGGTACAAGAACAAGAAGCTACATTTTCTTCATTTTTTTCAAAAAGGGGAAGGTAATGATTTAAAGAATATTGTCGTAGGCGCTTGAAACTTGGAAATCAACTTTCTATTGGTCTAAAAAAAAATAGCATCAGCTGATTGATATAAAAATAACTTCAGGTTGGTATTCATTATGGACTGACATCAGTTGGAAAGCCATTGGAAACCTTAGAGCACTGGACAGCTGTTTCATCCTAGTGTGAGACTCCTCAACGATGCGTCTCCATCACCCTGTCTCGCCAGGAATCAAACCCAGGATCTTCAGGTTCCGCAGCCAGCACATTACTATTGAGTCACTACATCGGCATCCAATCGTCTGTATTTCTTTTTTCTCCTAATTCGCGATATAGTGTGACCTCCATCTAATACCATCGTTGAGTAACTGTCCTCATGTTCTATTTGGTTCCACCCACCGGTTACGACTTCTCATTGGAGTGTCTGGAATCACTTTTCGAAGCTGGTTACCAATGACCAGTAGAATAATTCAATTCATAAAAATAACTGCTTTGATGCATAAGTGTCCAAACTTGGAACTTTTGTCATGTGTTTTACACCAGTAAGCTTTTTCACTGGCTTCCGTCTAATGGACGAGTTCTTACACAATAAACCTTTGATTATGTCTTCTCATCAGACGTTTTATTTCAGATCTCGCTAACCAGTTGAGTTCTTCGACAACAGACTCGTCACCCACCTTATATAACCTCTCATTTTCTTTTCAAAGCCTTCAAAGTTTAGAAGGAGAAAACCTTTCAAAGCTCATGAAAAGTGTTTCAGTTAGACAGAAAATGTTCAGATAGAATCGTGTGTCATGCAACACATCATGAACAGTTACATTCTAGCCCACGCCCATAATGTAATTCGAAGATTGGGTACATTGTACAGCAAGTAGCCTATGTTTGCTTTTATGATATGGGTAGTAAATAGTTATCTTGTGTAACTAGTTGTATGCTTTGGATAAAACTAGTACAACATATTGGTCAAACCCTAACATTCGATATCGTTTACAGACCAAAACCATTTATGAACACAAAGTCTAGTGTGATGTATCACGGCTAACTGCAGAGTTGACAAGAGTTTCGTAACCAAGCGATGCAAGAAGTCTGAAGTCACAAGAATCGACATCTTTACAAACTATTAGAAGATAACTAATTCAATAGAATAGGTATAACAAATTCCATGAATTCATCAGCAAAAAGAGACAGGTACATCGAAGAAACTACAGTTAAGTGTGACATGAATGTTTGTTACGTGAATAGCATCATATTTACTCAAGTGTTTAAAACGGCGTTTTATGTTAGATGATGCGATGATCAATATTGTCACTGAAGAAGTTATTCCATAATTTGGTTTTAAAGTTGACCATTCGTCTACAGGCGGCACAGACGAGGATGTCAAAGCAGCCAGGATCGGAAAAACAAGACAGGCGTTCATTAACATGAAACCGGTGTGCAGATCTACTCCACTGCACTCAGCATAAAGCGTGAACAACATTCCGATTTTCAACACCAACCATCAAGTCAATGCTTCTGTATGGTGATTGAGAGACTTGGCACGTTGCGAAAGGCATTTCCAACAAACTACAGACATTCATCAACAACTGCCCCCTACACTGGCTCGTTACTCAACATCAGATGGCCAGAATAACAAGAATAAGCAACAAGAAACTCTGGCCGGGCAACGAAACAACGAAGCAAGAACCCATGGCTGAACAAATATGCAGTTGAAGGAAGTGGAGATGGATTGGATTGAGTATACACTGAGAAGGCTGACTGGGGACATCACACGCCATGTCAGGTTTTCGAGTGGAACCCAGATGCGAAGCGACGAGTTGGGTGTCCGAGGCGAGGGTGACATGGAGAAGATGGTGTGAGGAAGAAATGAGAGGTTGTGGGCTGTTGTGGAGCCAGGTTCAAAAGATTTCGGAGAACAGAGTGGAAGGGAGACGTGTTACTGAAGCCCTATGTTCCGTTAGGAACTCAAGGGACAAATAGTAATAAATAATTTGGTACTGATACGAATAACTACTATTGTACTCCTTCTTTGATCTACACTGAAACATTGTTATGTGAAGAAAACAAATTATAATCATACAGATTATGAAAGCTAATTTTTTTCCATAGTATTATTGCATTTGAATTGCGATAAACAACGGAGAATAAAGGTGATTGACGGCGTAATCCATAGTTTTTTCCCTAATGACTGGCAGTTTGTCCTAAGTATCTCAGGGATTACTCATTTAATGTATTTATGTTCACTTTAAAGCTTATTATTTTACACAAGCGTTTTTTCCTTCTTTTGACCTAATGATGAGTTGAAAATATTTTTAAAATCCTCAAGATTAATTAAGCCATTTCGAGAACATAACTGAATGACGATAATAATGTCAATGTAATATGGCATATGATATAGGATTATGAAAATGTTTGGTTTTTTAGTTTATTACGCTTTTTAAGAATAAAAGGCTTCTGTCTATAATATTATTTTCCACAGATAATGGAAATGTTTGATTTAACTGCGTGTATAATAGATAAATAGATAGATAGATAATGAAGGCTACAAAGTAAATTGGTTGAAATACGCATATATTTGAGTTTATAGTCCATTTGGTGGCTACTAGTTAAATCCAGGACAGATGTTTCATCCTACTTGGGACTTGTCAGCTGGATGTACTCCCACTTCAGTGAGTGATGTGGTTCCCAATGAGACTCAAACTTCATATCCATCGCTTCAAACGTCCCTGCGTTATCCTCTGGGTCACTGGTACACGAGAGTCACACCTTGTGTAATGGGTGTCAGCTGTTGTTTGATACTTATAATCTTCTATTGCTGTGCTCGGTAGAATTGGTCAATCTCTTTTAGCAAATGGACTCCTGTGAGGATGCCTTGATATTCCCCACATACTCCTACTGGGTTCAAGTCCCGGTGCGAACAACACTCACTGGAGTATAGGTACATCAACCTGACAAGTGGGTCCCAAATAGAAGGAAATACTCGTCCTATATTTCACTGCTAGCCATCAAATAGACTACAACAGAATGAATATCTAGATAGTATCAGGCCACCTACATAGGATCCGATCTGTCAACAGAGGTTGAACAATTCGACCCAGTGTAGCGACGGGAAATTACAAGTATCAATAAACTATAATTGTAGTTTATTTGAATTATAATACTGATCTAATCACCAGATTTTTTCATTTCAATACTATCAATAGTTTTATGCCTATTATACATTATATCTGACATTATTTATGATCTCATATACTTCAACTCTTGAGTGATATCAATACATTCCATTTCTAAGTTTAATGTTTATCAAACTTGTAGCCATCTGGATGTCTAGTCGCTACCTGATGCTTTCTATAAACGTTATACACCGAATCTGTAGTGTATACCTTGTCTATATACAGTCCACTTGTCAATGGTTTTCTACTGTAATAATATTTATTATTATTATTATTATTGTTATTATTATTACTATTCATACCTGATTCATTTAACTTTGAAAAGTTGTACTTTTAAATTTTCAGCCGGGTTGTTCCATTCCACTTTTGGCTGTTGATCATGCTTTTCGTATGGCTATAACTGTACTAACTATCGCTTGCCCATGTGCTCTAGGCTTAGCAACACCAACAGCTGTTATGGTAGCGACGGGAACAGGAGCTTTGGCTGGTATACTAATTAAAGGTGGTCAACCGTTAGAGAATATGCGTAAAGTAAGTTTGACTTTAATGTTTCTCTTTAAAAGATTAGTTTCATTAATTTATCTCGGTTTTTCTTTACGTGTAAGAAGATGCATTTCTAGGCTTGTTTTCAACAATTATTTTAAAGACAATAGTCATTATTGGAGAATGGGTAAAATTGGACAGCATTTTTGTCTTATTGTGTAACTGTATAACAGTGGGGATTCTGCCCACGAGATACAATATCGAATCCCTCTACGTTCATCGACAATTATCAAGTTATCATTATCGGCTTGGATTTATTTATTATTTTTATAACTTGTCCCTTGGGTTCCTAGTGAAACATAGGGCTTCAGTGGCACGTCGCCATTTCACTTTCATCTATGCAGTCTTTTCTTCTAATCTGGCTCCACCACTCCCCACTAGTTTTCATTTCTTCCTCACACCATCTCCTCCATGTCACCCCCGAACGCCCAACTCGTAGTTTCCGATGCGGGCTCCACTCGACGACCTGGCCTGACGCACGATGTCCCCGAACGGTATTGTCGCTGTATGTGCAATCCAATCCATCTCCACCTCCTTCTTCTGCATATTTGTTGGGCGATGGGTTCTTGGTTGGTTCGTTACCGGCCGGCCAGCCAGCTAGAGTTCCTTATTGCTTATTCTTATTATTCTGGCCATCTGATTTTCAGTATTGAGTGATGAATGTCTGTAGTTTGTTGGAAATACTTTGGTAACATGCCAACTCTCTGAACCCTATAGAAGGACTGACTTGACCGACTTAGTGTTGAGAATGTGGATCTTGTTCACGCCTTATGCTGAGTGGAGTGGAGTGGAGTAGATCTCCATACTGATTTCAGATTGATGAAGGAAGACCTGTTTTGCTATGTTTCCCATCCTGACTTTGATGTCCTCATCTGTGCCTGTGCCGCCGCGTGTAGTTGAAACGATGCTGCTTTGACTAGGTAGGTGGGTGAAAGAGACTACTTCCTTCAGGTTTCTCCCATCGATGGTGATTGTTGCTTGTTGTTGTTGTGGCTGTTGTTGATTGAATATCTTCATCACCTGTCTTCTCTCCGTTCGCTTGAAGTCCCGTCTTCGCTGCTTCTTCTGTCAACTTGTTAGTTTTCGCCTGCAGATCTTAGACATCAATCATCATCATTGGTGAGATCCAAATCTTCTTAGTGAAGGCCTGTCTTGCTGCCTTTCAGATCCTGGCTTTGATGTCCCCATCTATGCCGCCGCTTGTAGTTGAAACGATGCTGCCTAGGCAGGTAGGTAGGTGAAAGAAACTACTTCCTTTGGGTTTCTTCTGTTAGTGGTGATTGGTGCCTCTTTCTGTTGTTGTTGTCGCTGTTATTGATTGGGTATCTTCATCACCTCTGTTTTCTCTACATTCGCTTAAAGTGCGGTCTTTGCTGCCTCACCTCGCCTCTTCTGTCAGCTTCTTGGTTTTCGCCTGTACATCGTCGAGTTTGTGCCACAAGACCTTCGACATCAATCATCATTGTTGGTGAAATCCAAATCTTCTTTTGGGGTCTTTTCATCGGTCCAGTCAGCATATGCCCTTCTTCCCGCTGCTCACAGTTTGTTGTATGATCCAGTCGAGTCAACCACCATCAGAAAGATCATCCGTGATAGTAGGTGGCAGCGTTGTCTTACTCCTGCTTTTACTTCAAAGGCATCACTGAGCTTTCCATTGTGAGTCAGTTGGTATATTTGTACATTGGCTCGGATTTAGGATCATAAAATTTTCCAAGGCAGAAATGGTATCCTTTAAATCTTTTGAAGTGTACTGTAAACAGGTTTTGGTTATGGAATAAGAGTAATCAAGAAGCAATAGAAACTATTATCCCAAACTTCAAGTAAAAAACTTTTTTTAAACCTAAAAGCTGACTTTATTGAATGTTGCAACACGTAATAACATGTTTCAGATTCATGCACGAATGCCATATGCATGAATTGATGACATACTGAAAGGTTCTTAATCGCATCTTTTTTTATCGACTGAGCTGCGTATTCTGTGCCTGATTATTTTTTCTTGTCATTGGAGTCGTATTTTTAGCGTCTCCTAGCGTTTATATCATTTTTGAAATACAACAGGCATTGATCCCTTGTCGTTGCCTGAAGCTTAGCGACCACCGTGTCAAAAACCTGGTGATCGCTGGTTCAAATCCGGCCATGGTTCAAATTTCCATCTCACCTTCAGTCATCTCCCCAAACCGTGTCTCTCTCAGAGTCGAAATGATAAACATTATCTTATCCGTATGAAAAGCAGTTAACAATTACTATATACCTGATAAAAGTCGCTTACCTAACTTGTTATGATATACACTTAAGCTTTCTTATACGGTCTGTATGATTCATTCACTTGATATCAACAGTCCTGAATCATTTAGTGCATATGAGCTGATCGTATTGCAACAGTACGGCTTCTTAAATCTAATGTGACAAAATCTTAGGCGAATCCATGAAGTTTAACGTTTACGTTTATCAAGATCTTTTCGCTGTAACAGATTGAGAGGTCACTTTTCATATTTTCTAAAATGAAATGAGTTTTCGTCAGATAAAAAAGCTTTCATCTATCAGATTTACTATATCATCGAAGATTATTAACTAACTAACTGTAAACCGATGTGAGGAAGAACAACTCGCGTGACCATTAACTGCTCTTTAGTTTTCCGTTGTCATGTTGCAGCATAAATTAGTAGTTATGGTATGGGGCTCGAAAATCTAGACGAAGTTGAAGAGTATGTGACAAGTAACTTGGGATAAGGAAGCTTAACACATCGTGATGGGATAAAGTGACAAGCCTTTGTGGTAAACGAGGTATTGGTTAGATCAACCTAAATATTAGTTTTGATGTCAAAGTGGGATGTCATTCGCCGTCGTTGGTCTTGTTTGTTGATCGTTGATTTTTCAAGAACAATAGAAGTACTCTAGTGATAAGCGTAGTGTGTAATATTCTAGATTCCATAATCATTTTATATCTAACTGTTGTTTAACGACATCAATCACGAAGAAAATAGTCATGTCTTATCGACTGATCATGAGGTTATCATTCAGATCCCCATCTTTTGTCTAACAAGCTACCACACTGACAGTATCACCCTACCAAAATTCAGAATTCGACCCTTAAAATCAATGTGTTTCTTGGAGCAAGATGTATCACTGAAAGGAGTATCCATCAAAGCCCGTTACCCGAACAATTATGGTTATTAACAACCTCATAGTAAGCTATCCAGTGAGTTGCCTATGTTTAATGTTGGCTGTCAGTAATGTTCATATTGCCTGCTTTCACTTGAGTTTATCCCGAGTATGCCTATGACGATACAATTTCCATCTATTAATTTGTCTTTTATTCAAATGTGACAAATAATCACACTTATAATTTCGTAAAAGTACGTTTTTGTAACGAGATTACGTGATCAACACAAGTGGTTTGGGATGAATTACAACAAAGTTACGAAATATAATTTTATCCTCTATTTTTAAGTTGTACGTGTAAAGGTCAGCAACAACACATAATTTAAGCAGTTATGCCACCGATTCGCATATAGAATAATTAAATAATTCGTGTCTTCTAAGTCACGTATTATACGGGTGTTGCTTTAAAGCAATTAATTATCCTATTTGACTGAATGACTAACAAAATCAACGTAGGACATCGCACACAAGCGCATCTGCTCCAGTTGCCGCACTTCACAGTAGTACACGGAGAACAGGTGGAAATAAAAGGAATGATGTCAAAAAAGATAAAGTAGTGTGGTAGAATAAACAATCTGAAGATAAAGTTCAGTGTGAATATTCAAGCTTTAGAAGCTGTCTAGGAGTGAATATATCTGCGCCATTATGACCGATTTTCAGCCACGTCACCAAGAGTCCTCAACCGTTGATTCCTTTCGTCTCACAGACCTCAATCAGTTAGATTACATCTCCCCACTCGACTCAGACCTACAGTTAGAGACTTCATGGACGGGTGCCACGTCTTTATCTGACCATCCCAAACCCTCTTCCAATGTAATCCAACTTCTCCTAGCATGGTACATCAAGGTAGACAGTGACTCGGCATGCCCAGCACATCCCCTGGTCATCTCAGTCGACTAAGGGTCACAACCCTCTCAATCGACTTACCTTTCTTTCCTAGTACTCTTCACGTGAATTCAGCATTGCTCATACGGTGGTTCCATTAAACGCGACCAATGCTACGATGACATCTGTGATCATAACTTTGCAACCAGTCAACTATCTAGATTCAGGTGATCTGAACTAACTCGGCCATGTGAGGTCAATTTGTCCAAGTACACCGCTGATGCGCTCATCCCCAAACGAGTGTAGTGAACGTTCAGTGTTTAGAACATTCTGATCTTACTGGTGCAGTATACAGATCAGCCTGAATGGTTTCTAAATACTCAAGTTAATCAGTACGATACTATCATCTAGTTTTCAGTTATTACATAATATTTGTTTGTTTTGTAATTCAAGTAGTCCCTTAATAAATTTCGTCTTTTTTAAAATAAAATTAATATCTTTTTTTGGCAGTTAACTACAATTTTATTTGATAAAACGGGAACAATTACTCAAGGTCGACCACAAGTTGTTCGTATTGTCATGTTTGTACCACCAGATGAAATATTGAAACCAAATGAAGCAGTAAGTAGGTTTTTTGGTAAATAAACAATAAAAATACAAACAGTTAGCAGTGCCTGCGCGTTTTCTTTCTTTCACGAGGTCAGTGCATGCCGTTCGTCATTTCTCAATATTATATAGTCGTGTTCATTATTATTTATTTATTTGCTTGTCTTTTGGGTTCCTAATGGAACATAGGGCTTCAGTAACACGTCTCCCTTCCACTCTGTTCTCTGAAATCTGTTGAACCTGACTCCACCACTGCCCACAACCTCTCATTTCTTCCTCACACCATCTTCTCCATATCACTCTCGCCTCGGACACCCAACTCGTCGCTTCGCATCTGGGTTCCACTCGAAAACCTGACATGGTGTGTGATGTCTCCAGTCAGCCTTCTCAGTGCATACTCAATCCAATCCATCTCCACTTCCTTCAACTGCATATTTGTTCAGCCATGGGTTCTTGCTTCGTTGTTTCGTTGCCCGGCCAGAGTTTCTTGTTGCTTATTCTTGTTATTCTGGCCATCTGATGTTGAGTAACGAGCCAGTGTAGGGGGCAGTTGTTGATGAATGTCTGTAGTTTGTTGGAAATGCCTTTCGCAACGTGCCAAGTCTCTCAATCACCATACAGAAGCATTGACTTGATGGTTGGTGTTGAAAATCGGAATGTTGTTCACGCTTTATGCTGAGTGCAGTGGAGTAGATCTGCACACCGGTTTCATGTTAATGAACGCCTGTCTTGTTTTTCCGATCCTGGCTGCTTTGACATCCTCGTCTGTGCTGCCACCTGTAGTTGAAACAGTGCTGCCTAGATAGGTGAAAGAGACAACTTCCTTTAAGTTTCTTCCGTAGATGGTGATTGGAGTTTGCTGTTGGTGGTGATGGTGTTGTTTGGGTATCTTCATCACCTCTGTCTTCTCTATATTCACTTGAATGGTGTCGTGTCTTCGTTGCCTCTTCTGACAACTTGTTACTTTTCGTCTGTAGGTCTTCGATTTTGTGTGACATTAGATACAAGTCATCGTTGGCGAAATCCAAATCTCCTTCTAGTATCTTTTCACCGGTCCAGCCAGTGTATACCCTTCTTCCTGCTGCTCACAGTTTGTTGTATGATCCAGTCGACCACAATCAGGAATATCATCGGTGATAGTAGGCAATCTTGTTTCACTCCGGTCTTCACTTCAAAAGCATCACTGAGCTTCCCATTGTGAATTACTTGGCATGTGGCATCTTCATATAGTTGTTAAAATAAGATTGATAAAGTTTTGTGACACTGAAACCGTAGTGTTGAAGCAACCCTTCTTCCAATCTGCAGGTACCTTTCCTTCCTTCCTCCCAAACCTTCTGCAGTAGTGGTGTGAGCATGTCCGCTGTTGTCTCTGCATCTGTTCTCAGTGCTTCTGGTGGGATTCCATCTAGTCCTGCTGCTTTCCCGCATTTCATTAGCTTTATGGCGCTCAGGACTTTGACTTTTGTTGGAGGATTTATGTTCACTTGTAGTTCTGTGACTGCAGGTGGTATTTCTGGGTGAAGTGCAGGTGATGATGGTGGTGGCCGATTCAAGAGCTTTTTAAAGTGATCAGCCCATTTTTTCTTTTGTTTCTCTTCTTTGGTAATTAAATTTCCTTCATCATATTTCATTGGTTTCATCTATGTTGATCTCTTCAATACTAGATTGTAACATGGTTATTTGATATAGTGTTGTCAGGTCTCTCTCTCTCCTACCTGCAGCCTGTTCTGCTTCCCTTGCAAGTGTGTCGTAGAAGTGTCTTTTGTCTTTCCGTGCACCCTTCTTCACTTCTTTGTCCAGTGTTTTATGCAATGTACTCAGTTCCTCCTGTTGTTGTGCATCCTTGCACTGGTTTATCTTCTGTTTCACCATCCACCTCTCCTCTATCAGCTTCCATGTATCCATCGAGATCCATTCCTTGTCTTCTTTCTTCTTCCTTCCTAATACGGTTATGCAGGTTTCTTTCCACATTTCTTTCAAAGATTTCCAGTGTTCTGCCACACAGGTTTGTTCAGGGATGTTCCTCGATATCTTCCATTTTATCTTGATGGCTGACGTGAAGATGTCCCTTGTAGTTTCGTGCTTCAGTTTCCGAGTGTTCAACTTGAACTGTGGTCTATCATCACCAACTTCCTTGAAGGCTTTCAACTTGATTTTGAAGGCTGGTTCCTTGCATTAGATAGTGCGTTGTCTGAACCTACATCTGCTCCCCTTCTTTATCTTGTGTCAAGTAGGCTGACTGTGTCTCCACTTTCTTGAGATTGAGATAAAGTCGATTTGATTTTTAGTGTGTCCCGGTGTCTGGTGAAATCCATGTCGCTCGTTTTGTGGATATCCTTGTGCCTGAACGTAGTGCCTTCAATCACCAAATCGTTGAATGCACAGAATTCTGCAAACAATTCTTTATTCTCGTTCGTCATGTCACGAGCGCTTCTCGACCCATGGTTAGTTCTCTTCCTGTGTTGTCTGCTCCCAGTTTGGCATTCATGTCGCCCATTAGAATTTTGATGTTGCTAACTGAGGTCTTGTCCAGTGTTGATTGAAGTTGTCTGTAGAATTCCTTCTTTTTCTCTTGCTCTGCATTATTTGTAGGTGCGTAGAGTAGCATTGTATGATTGTGACCTTCCTTCCTTCCTTTTGAGTTGAACCTTGTTGTCATGATCGTGGAGGAGATTGGTTCCCACTGCATGAGAGCCTTCGATGCTCTTGAGAGAGGGACATCATGATAGCCACTCCAAAACTCATTGTGCTCGTGGTTGTCGTGTCGTCTGAGTGACAATATCGGAGTAGATTATTGATTCTCCGGTTGACAGTTTGGAGAGTCCACTCCCATTCCATCCACTTTCGCAAATTCCAAGCACTTCGATGTGATACCTTCTCATCTCGTTTGCAATCTGGGCAGCCTTGGTAGGTTTAAACATGGTGTGGACATTCCATGTCCCCATGTTTACTTTTGGTTTCATCGAGAGAGAGAAGACACATTGGTGAATTGGCTTCCCGAAGACAGGCTTTCACCAACCGGTATCATTTCGCCTCTCCGATTCCAGCGAGGAATAATTTTGTTGTTATTTTTTATATTTTGTTTGTGATTTGAAGTTTCTTTAGCTGTTGGATCGGTTTTCGGGGGTAGGGTTGCCAGCCCTATGCCCAACCTTTGCCTCTTTACCCAGGCTTAGGACCGGCTAGTAACTAGTGAACTAGTTAACCAGGCAAGGTTGTCGTGTTCGTTAGTTGGAATTTATTCCCTTCATCAAGTTGAGAATGCAGAAGGTTTTTTCACTGCCCCGTGTTTTTGATCGATTTATGTCTAGTTGTGTATTCTTGTTGATTACTTATTTTGCCGCAATTCTTCGCTCTCTGGAATATTATTTTCCCATCCATTTTGATGGATTGTCATATAATGATGAGGTGAGTAGCTAAAGTGTATGAAAATTCACCTTTTCAGGCAATTTCTTCAATACCTGATTGGATAATGATGTGCAGTTATCACTGTTGAGAAAAATGAAGTACTAATTAATCATGCTTCACTGGTCTGGTAGTGAATAACTTTTTAGCTTTATAAGCAATCGGCATGGGGTTCGAGTCCCAGTGGGAACAACGTCACTATTTGGCGTGTAGGTACATCCAGCTGACGAGTTCCGAGTAGGACGAAATATACATCCTAGATCCCACTGCTAGCCAGCACCATGTAAATTATAACAATAAAAAGGGGTAACGTAGATGAGCCTTAGAAAAGAATTTTATTGCGATATTTATCTTGATCGGTTAATGACTGAATTATTTACCTACTTTTTTCCTACACTCATTTGTATTTCATTTCATAATTTAGAGTGTATAGTAGAAGGATTCCCTATTTGTTCGTTGTTGTTTCTCTGAGCTTTCAAGAAAATAGCCTTCTTTTCAATCACTCTTGAAAATGACATAAAATTTTTAACTGACATTAAGCAATGTATATGCAACTTGTGGTAGTTTCAGTATATGTTTAAACCTACATGATCGATGTTAATTCTAAAGTAAGTATTTTTACTTTTTATCCAGGTTTATAACTATAGTAAAATGTTTAATGTAGACCGTTAATGCTCAAGGGTCATTTGGGTGTTTAGTTACCAGGATGTTCATAGACTCCAACGTGTATGTATGAAATCATATTTAATAAAGTTGTTTAAACTACGATTTGACACTTTCAACACTGTATAATATCTCCAGGAATAGAATTAGGTCAATATAATGTTTTTTTAGGGTAGTTAATTCAAGGTGTATTAATCCACCTTATTTTTAAACTATTTTTCATTTCTTTGCTGAGATTCTCAAATACGATTAATTAGGAACGCGTAATGTAGCTAGCTACTGGACAAACGATACGATACTTGACATTTGAATCAGCTGACACAAGCAGGCATCGTTGAACTGAAGTGAGTTTAGTCCAATCGAAGTATGAAGGTATAATCCAGGAACGCAACTTTTGCGTTTATATACTACAGCACATACGCCCTTGAGGCGAATAGACAAAATAGCCTATCAAAAATGGGAGACTAACCAATAGGAAAACAGCTTTGTTAAAAGTGGTAAAATTGAGCGATACACGTTGGGTGGAAAAAAGTGAAGGAAAAAAAATTCATAAAATTTAACCATAAAACGTTCATTTCTAGGGATGTAATATCCCCAAAAGTTTTGGGCGGTATAGTTTAAAATTGATCTCAATAAGTGTAATGTATCTGTGAAACTTCGAGGAGACTGTTACACTTTGAAAAAACAATAGCTGCAATAAATCATGACATTATTGTTGAAATATATTCAACTCAGGGAACACTAAACCATTCTCAACTGGTTATTTCGAAGTTATTAAACCTGCCTTTATTTTATATTTTAAACGCTTAATATTCTGAGATTTGTAGTCATTCATTCAATGCTTAGTCAAAACTTGACAAAAAATTTCATAAAATATTTAACTAGCAGTCTGTCACACTCATTGTCTATTTCTTCATCATTTTTATTTCCTTATTTCCTCTATACATGATTGCCACACTTTCCTTATTCAAATTCATATCCACAGTTTTCCGTTTAAACTGATATAAAGAAAGATATATCTTGACGCTTCATCTGAACACATTTGCTCACTTCAGTCAGTTCCCAGCATACGGTGACTATCATAAAATTACCACTGATGTACATCACTCATCATTTTGTTGATTCTATTGGTCATGACCATATGTTAGAGTTTTAGTGAATTCATTCCACAAATCAATCAATGGACTGTTATTTTGTTCTGGTTAGATATCGGGGAACATATGATATACATATAAAATCCTCCTGATTATACCTATTGGTGATGAAAATTATCCTTACATTTTTGTACTGGGTAATGCCGGGGAAATAAAAATCTAGGTCACTGCAGAAAGTCGCTAGTTCGAATCCTGCCCAGAATCATATATTTCTCATCTCCCGGTGGACAAAAATTCTTTAAATAAAATTTTGTTTGTCGATCAATCCTTACTTAAACATCATTTTTGGGTTTTTATATTTCTAACAGACTAAGAATGAATCATCGGATCAATATTCACTAACTCCAATTTCTTTATATAAGCCTCAAATTTGTTCAAGTATATCACCTAGTCGATTTATATATCTTATAGCCAGTGCTGAGTCGACAGTACAACATCCTGTTGCTAAGGCTCTTGTCACTATTGCACGCACATTTCGAAGATTTTCATCATTGACAAATCCAAGTGATACACTTTTAAATTTATCGAATGAATTAGAGATAATGAAAAATCAGAAAACTACAGGAGATACAATTCCTTATAATACATCTACTGATTTTGCAAAAGTAAGCGTAAATAATGTTTTATCGTTTTTCATATATATTCAATACTCAATCCTAGCTATGCATTGATGTTGCATTATCACTTTTGAATTCTTTTTTCCCGCATAACTTTCTTTAAAACGTCCAGTAGTATTCATCATAACCCGAAAAAAAGTTCCGAAGATATTCTGTTCATATTAGTAGGTCAACGGTTTCAACCTATTTTGTCTACCTGAATGACTCGATTGACTTTCGTCAATCGACACCATCTATCACGCCGCTGCGATAACCGATTGTCGATTATAGGTCTCGTGAACTCTTCTTTAATTTGCTCTGTTCTACTATATGGCTGTGAAATATGGTCATTAAAAGTAGAGGCCTCAGGGATTTGACTACCGTGCCCTTCATAGAATATTCCGTGTGTCGCGATGTCACCACATGAGTAACACAGAAATCAGGTGTAGGGTTTTAAGGGGGAGAAGAGAGGGTCATGAACCTTCATTGTTTCAGATAGCTAAGACATGTGTTACGCATGTCTAGTCACTGTCTGCCTCTTCACTCAGTGTTCGCTGAAGTCTGTTCATGCTAGAAAAAGGCTTGGAGCAGTCAGACTAAAACATGGCATCACTGCATCTAGTCGTCCTTGACTGTTGGTTTAAGCCTTATTGGGAGACGCAGATTAAGCTGGTTGGTGTCCTCCTAAAAAAACGGAAATTAGTGGTTGGAGATATGGCTCAGAATCGATGTCAGTGAAGCAGATGTATCCACACTTTATCTTCATCTTGAACTCTATACTGGACTCAGCATTTCCTCTTATAAGACTTCCTACTGATTCTTAACGACCGTTCTTTATTTCCTCCTCTTTCGCCTTGGTGCTTTGTTACTTGGTGTGAGATGTGACAACTTGGACCTTTACGCAGTGATGCCTGGTCCTATATTGATGTTGATGATGTTGATAGTGATGATTCTATCTGCCATTTCAATCTGATGGAATAAAGTTATTAAACTGTACATTTATATTAGATATGATGTACAGCTGCTATCCTAGTATGCTCAAGTGCACTTAGTAAATGGTTTCAATCAGATATTTTGCTTATGGTTTAGTGGTAGTAAACCATAGAAGGATTGTATGCTTTTTCTGCGCTGAAGAATCTGGATTGCGATTGAAACATAGGGTGTAGAAATTCTTGTCACAGTAATTAAAGAACTACCTGTCGAACTGTCTGTCGTATAGATTTAGTTGAATGAACTACGAGGTATAAAGTGATAAGTCAGTTGATTTGTTTACAGAGACCTTTAGTGATCCGACATAATTCGGATATATGTTATACATACCTAGCCATTGTCTACTGCGATTCTCTATATCAGCAAGATTAGGCTGTAACTCACGAAATATTTGGATGATGTTTTAGGCGATGTAGGTAACTGCAGATTTCCTGATTTGAGTTGGTTAGGCAACTGGAATTGAAATCTGACACTTTCAGGAATGTCTACGAATTAGTCTTTGTGGTACAGATGCGTACATCATTTATCTTGATTTCTATTATATCTATATTACTTCAGTTATTATTATTTTCGTTCCTTTCTTCCAACTTATCAACTCTCCATTACTGGTCCAATGTCAAGTATAGCATCTTGAACCTAAGATCAAAAGTATCAATTTCTATATCCTTGATTTCATCGTATCTCTGATAAATACTAATACTTATCTGTAAAATGTGTCGCAGAAAATGTGTGACGATATATTTTATCTATTAGGCTGCAAGCCACACATCTTTTGTTACTGTTTGAATAGAGTTTGATGGTAGTGCTTCAATATTTAAACTACAGCAGGCTAACTGAGTTTTGACAGACAGACACAATCAACGTAGAATTTCGCATCGGTTCAACTTGCCACACTTCACAGCAGCATTCAAAGAATTAGGAAATAGAAAAAGACTGATAGATTAAGGTGAATGGGAGGAGAAACAATTTGGAAATGAATATTAGTCAAAACATTCAAGCTATGTAAGATATCAAAGAGTGAATCCATCTGCATTGTCATAACTGGTTTTCAGCTGTCACCAAGGGTTTCCAACCACTGATTACTATCATCTCGAGGCACTCAATGAGGCAGTCAAACTAAGTTTGGAAGCGTAACCTAGTGTTTGTAAGTCAAATAACTACATCACTGTACCACAAATCAAAACTTCATGAAATGAACAACTGTAGTGCTTTTAAGAAAATCTGTCATCTTGTTTTGACTTTAGGCTGATCCCTTCTATATGAATGATATTCTGGATTCACTAATTTAGTCTCTTGCAGAGTCGAACTCGCCTCCAATGTGGACGTTTTAGCGTTTTGGAATTTACCAAGTAACCTTGCGCTCATTCGTGCAATAGACAATGGACCATGCCTTTTGTGTGAAAATTTGTAGTACTATCTGACCGCCCAAATCTCGGTAGTTTGAGTGGGTTCCAAACCCATGATCCGTCGGTTGAAAGTTGAGTGCCTAGACCAATGAGCCCATAGTCTGTAAGTTTCACTGAATGTATTCAGATGGCAGTAACACTATTTGCACCAAAACATATCTTATACTACACTCTGTGTGATTAAAGGTAAGAGATATCAACTACCGTCATCATATCTAATTTTTCAAACAACGGCTTACACAAATTTCGATTTTAAAGTGGGTGGATGTGGGGACAAATACTCAACGATGACATTAGGTGATGGTTATACTACACCATGAATTGACAGAAGTAGGAAATTCGGATCATTGCATTCCGACCTATTGGCTAAATGGTAAAGTGTTGGCCGTGGAACCTGAACGCCACGGGTTCGATCCCCGGTCGGAGTCCATGTGTGCACACTGCTGAGGAGTTTCATACTAAGACGAAACAGCTGTCCAATGCTTCCAGGTTTCCTATAGTTCTCCAAATGATGTCCATCCATGATGAGCACCAACTTGAAAACAATAAGTCCCGAAAAAACCCCAAATTAAAAAACCAAATAGTATAGTAATATATATATATATATATATATATATATATATATATATATATATCTCATTGTGTGCTGATCAAAATAATTTTTTTCTTGTTTATTTTTCTTAGATTTCAAAAATCAAAACTGCCTCTGGATTAGGTGTGAAATGTGATGTTGATCTGATTCCATATGATTGTCCACCAGGTCCTGAGTTACCTAGACCATTCAATCTCAATAGTATTAATAGTAGTAAGACTAACCCTGATGATAGTGCTAGTAATTCATGTAAAAATGTATCAGATATACAGTTTACTGAATTAGATATTAATGCTGCATTGCAAGTAAGACTGACCTATATGTCGTGTATGTGGCCAACGAAAAGTAAGGCCTTCGGTGATAGCAATGGTAAGAAGAAGAAGAAGAAGAGGACAGAAAATGATGTTGAAGACTTCAATGATCATCTACAGAAAGAAAACTATCTACATCCTACTAATACAACTCTCCTGAGTAGTAGATTAGAATCTTGCCAATTTAATTTGAATGATAATACTACTAATAAGGAACTCAATTATGACATCAACTCTCAACAGCAACAACATTTTTTAAGTGGATTAGAACGTATCGAATGGGCAAGTACGTTGGAAATATTCTATTTTATTTACAGCTTAACTACCACTGTTTTGTTTATTTTTCTTTTCAATGTTCAATGTCCCAAGGTGTTTTCCAGACACCCATGCTTAGTTAAATGTCCTACGTGTTTCTTCGTTCTCAAGAACACGTAGAACGTCCGTGTAATCTCGACGACATTGCTTGTTATATTGAGAATTTTAAATCTATATCTTTTTTCATCAGTAGCTAAAAACTCTTCTATTGAACTATTTGTAATATTCCCATGTTTGAAAATTGTATAAAAGGTGCACAAAACTTGCATAGGATTTCCACGTTACTTGTGGATAAGGGTATACTTAATTTTTATGCATTTAGATTTCTTATTCAATCAGATTTGGATGGGGATGAAAAGTCTTGACTGGGCAACCAGTGTGAGTACGATCAAGCGGTAGTGAGTAACACATCACGAATTCAAATGGTAGTCGGGCCTCGTAGCTCAGTTGGCAAAGCACTTGGTCGGAAACCCGGTGGTTATTGGTTCGAATCCTGTCACGGTCTTAATTTTTCATTTCAACTTCAATCATCACCCAGTATCAAGTCTAGACGAAGCAAGAAGGATGAGATTTATGGAATAAAATTATATCACTTCATGAATACTCCTCAGCTTCATACAGTTTGAAAGTATAATTATTATTGTGATATAAGATATGAAGATATCCTAACCAACAATGGAGTGGATGGTTTGAAAAAAATTGGTCACCGAGTTAGCATGATTCATTGTATAGGATGTATTCTCACTTGTGTAATCCCGGCGTAATATATTAGAACAAATAACAAAATGAACAAATATTTTGTATTATTCCTCAACGTTTCGATCTTGCTAGGAAGATCCTTTTCAAGAGTATGAATCTGACACTAAGTTTTCAGGTTAATATTCAAGTTTTGGTACACAAAGTGGTGATCATCCAATTATATAGTGATATGGAGCAAAGATCGATGTAATACAAGTGAGTGAATAAGCAACTCGTTCAGAGAGGTTCTTTCGTTGTGCGAGTAAGGTGGAACAAAAATAGGGTGGGGAAAACCTTTTTAGTTCGTACAATGGGGTTGTGAGACATCAAGGGTGAGAAAAAATAGGTTAGTAGTTTGGATGGATGAATATTTGAAGATCAGACAATACATAATAATAATAATAGTAATAATAATAATAATAATAATAATAATAATGTGTACTTTTGATGACATTTGAAGTATGAGCGATAACAAAATGGATTATGTTATGGCTCATCGAATGTATATGACTCAGGAAGTAGTATAAAATTGATGAAAATAGTAGATCAATGAGGTGTATGTAATAGGACTAGACAAGCTGTTCAAATGCAATCAAACTTTTTTTTCCTTTTTCCTCGTGGTTTAAATGATTAAGAGAAATAACACCAGAAACTCTATTCAAACAAGAGTGAATTCGGAATAAATCATATGGAATGAAATTGTGTTCCACCTTCTCTTCATATATTATTTACAACTGCCTAGGCGAGTCATTAATGTTTGCCACCATATTAGTGGGATGTCTAACCCATCTTTTCTGTTGACCGAAGAAGGATACGAATAAATGTGGAAATCTTCTGTAATGGTCTACTCTTTGTGAGAAAGAAAACCCTTTTGCAGAACTTTTGTCTGTTCGAATGATATTTTATGACCTGAATGAATATAGGGCTTGAGCTGCGATACTTCAAAATTAGGAAATCATTAATCTTGGGTTTTACAATCGAATCTCTGATAATCCATATAATATGTAAGAGAATCGATTATAAAGAATTAAGAAATGTAAGAAAAGGAAAATAACAATAACAAACAAATAGACAGTTATGTAATTAAAACGAAAATGAAACAATGAAAATATATTCACCAATGGAGTGAGAGACTAATCAGCAGCTTTTCCCTTCTATTTCTCCATACTGATTTGGAATAGAATGAAGGGTACATGTTTTATCCTATTTAACACTCGGTATTTAACCATATATGTGTTGATGTCTATATATTTTATTTATTATTATTTGTCATTTGGGTTCCTGGTGGAACATGGGGCTTCAGTAACACGTCGTCATTTCACTCTCATCTATGCAGTCTTTTCTTCTAATCTGGCTCCACCACTTCCCACTAGTTTTCATTTCTTCCTCACACCATCTCCTCCATGTCACCCCCGAACGCCCAACTCATTGTTTCCGATGCGGGCTCCACTCGACGACCTGGCCTGATGGATGATGTCCCCGAACGGTATTGTCGCTGTATGTGCAATCCAATCCATCTCCACCTCCTTCTGCATATTTGTTGGGCGATGGGTTCTTGGTTGGTTCGTTACCAGCCAGCCAGAGTTCCTTATTGCTTATTCTTATTATTCTGGCCATCTGATTTTCAGTATTGAGTGATGAATGTCTGTAGTTTGTTTGAAATACTTTTGGTAACATGCCAACTCTCTGAACCCTATAGAAGGACTGACTTGACCGACTTAGTGTTGAGAATGTGGATCTTGTTCACGCCTTATGCTGAGTGGAGTGGAGTAGAGTAGATCTCCATACTGATTTCAGATTGATGAAAGAAGGCGTGTCTTGCTATCTTTCCCATCCTGACTTTGATGTCCTCATCTGTGCCTGTGCTGCCGCGTGTAGTTGAAACGATGCTGCTTTGACTAGGTAGGTGGGTGAAAGAGACTACTTCCTTCAGGTTTCTCCCATTGATGGTGATTGGTGCTTGTTGTTGTTATTGTCGCTGTTGTTGACTGAATATCTTCATCACCTCTGTCTTCTTTACGTTCACCTGAAAGAAGTCCCGTCTTCCAATGTGCATATATACCAGTGAATAATGATGATTTCACTCTTGCTTGAGCGGAGTATCCTTCATTTTAAATGCTCGAACGCTATTTGTTACTTCTTAAAAGTATGTCACTTGTAATTATAGTGTGAACTTTCCTGAAGGGTTTTATTCTTGGTGGGAAAACCAATGCATTCATTCGACTGTGAATCTCATATTGGATGAATTGTGCTTCATGGATTTCCTATGACCGATAATGCGACCTAGCAGTCTACGAACGATGCGAACTTAATGCCCGAAAGAATCTACTCTAATCGCTAATCAGAACATCAACCATAACAATTCCACCGGCACACGAAGACAAGAAGAGAAGACGGACCATCGGCAGAGAGCTTTCACTATCTTAATAACAGTCAAAACAGCTGAGAGCAGTAGCGAATAGATACAATCTAGACAACGTTGACAAACACTAAATTCACTGTTAAGTTAAAGGAGTTACCAGTCAATAAGTGTTTAACCTTCAGAAGCTATGGAAAAAACAAAAGCTAGTAATGGCCCCAAGAGGGTATGAAAAGAGCAATACTAAAGTTAGTTTAAAGTTGTAGGCAAAATTAGGGGTGTATAACAAGATTCCACTGCTGACTAATGTCAAAGATAACCAACACTGGATTACAGATACAATAAATGCATTAGTACAGCAGGTTTCCACGCCAGCACAAAAAATGAAGCTCCAGTAACAAAAATACAAGTATTTTAGGATGAAATAGATAGTTTTTAAATTACACAAACAGATTAATATTTAAAAATAATTTTTAATCTTTCCCTCCTACCAACAGAATGTTGTATGCACCATAATTAATCGGTTAAAATTAATCATGATAAATACTACGTTTTTGTACATTTGATATAACCATCCATTGTCTTCTCTTATTTTGTTCTCTTACAGATTGTACTAAAGGTGGTGTTCATTCTGTACTTGTTGGTAATCGTGAATGGTTAAAACAAAATAACATAACATTACCAATCTTTTTGTCTACTGAATATTTACCTCATGGACGTGAAGCAAGCCAAAATATTCGTAATATTCCAACTTTAGAGTCATTAGTTGAAACTGATGAATCTCAGGGGCATACAGTTGTTTTTGTCGCTATTGATAACATTCTTGTTGGTTTAGTGAGTATCTCTGATCCAGTGAAACCAGAAGCTGATTTAGTTGTAGCTGCATTACGTCATCGTGGTATACGTGTAGCATTATTAACAGGGGATAATTATCGCAGTGCTACAGCAGTCGCTCGTCAAGTTGGTATACGTGAAGTGTATGCAGAAGTATTACCTGGTCATAAAGCAGATAAAGTTAAAGAATTGCAAAATTCTTCTGTACGTCAAATAAGTCGAGATGGTAAGCGTTTGAAGAAGATGAAAAAGAAGGAAATGATGACAATGAAGTCAAAAGGTTTTGTTTTAGGAAAATGGGATTCTTCAACTAATTGTCAAGAAAGTGAGTTACTTGATAGGCATACTGTTTTTACTTCTTAAAGTAGATACTATATTTGAACCAATGCATAACTCGAACTTTTCACAACTATTGACTGCTACTTCAGTAAACTATGCTTCAGTGAATTGTAAGGGTACTAAAAGAAGTGATATATGATAAACCTTGATTTATACCTTCCAATAGGAAATCAGTTGACTGTAGTGTCCTTTCAACAAATGAATCGAGTAAATTTGGCCAAGGTCATCTTGAAGTATGAATCATTTAAATATATGAGGCAAGTGAACACCTACTATAGTAGCTTAAAAACTGAAATGATTTATGTGTGGCTAGATTCCACTTGTCATGGAAAAATATCCACATATATAAAAACATAAGTTTGACTATCTGAAATAGCTGTTGTTTGACAGATATGTATTGATACTTAGGGATAATTGAAGATGAATTGATAATCTGGGCTGGGGCAAGAAAGTCGCTGGTCCGAATCTTGCCGTGACTCAAATATATGAGATCAACATGAATTCAACTGTACAATACACTGAAAGTTTTGATGGAACATTTAAATCCCTGAACGGTGGTTATTCTTCGAATATGTTGTTGTTTTCTTGTTATTCCCATTCATGGATAACTAGATTAGGCATTTAAGATAAACTCATAAATGTTTATTCCCATAGATTGCTATCACTTTTAACGATGTGGCTCACTGGTCTAGCCAGTTGGCTCCAAGTCAGTAGGTCATAGGTTTTGAACTCAATTCACCTAACGAAATTTGGGTAGCTAGATTGTATCCCTAGTCCTCACACAATATATATAGCTTATTACCTACTGTACGGATATACTCAAGGTGTCTGGGTGCGTTTCGTTTTTCGCAGTGCAATACGGATTTTTGTCTTCCTACGGTGCTTGTTAGCAGCACTCATGTTTGTATATAAGTAATGGAACATACTTCCTTCTGTCATACAGAACTCATGTAACCGTATCTAGATCTTGATCCGGAAGCTTTTTGTTTTAATCTTGTTTCCCTTCACGTTTTCTTTGATTTACATGCATTATCCCTTATTAGTAGTAACAGCCGCCTTATCCACATTAGTGCAATAGGTATTGAGCGCTGCCTATTATATAAGTACTAGTGATACTACCTGGTTGCGCAAACCTCAGTAGGTGGGGCGGGGTTCGAACCCGTGATCCATTGGCCGGAAGTCATCTCGCTAAACCACGGAACCATTGCTCCACATGACTATCATAGTTCATCTAAAACACAATCTACTGTTTTATTCTTCTGTCTAGTTTTGGCTTTAATTTACATATAGACTTGAAAATGTGAGTGAGTAGTTAGTTTGGTGAAATATGCGAACAATTATTCGACAACTTATATATATAATTCCACCATAATATTTTGATAATTGAAGGTGAGGTGAAAGTCTAGACTATGTTAGGATTCGAACTAACGACCTTGGGGTTGCTGGCCTTATTGCTTTATCAACTGAAGTACGACACATTTAACTGCAGATCAGAGCACTGGAGCGGTAACCTAGAAGTCACTGGTTCGAGTCCTGCTGTGGCCCAGATTTTCATTTCACTTTCAATCATCACCCAATATTACATACAAGTCTGCCATATCGGGACTATCTCAGATAGTTAAACTGGCAATGTATTGTGTAGCATTTCGAGTTCTAATTTTTATTAACTTAAATGTTAACCATTCATTCTGTTCGCCAAGTATGTATGACTTTAGCTAATATTCTCTATGATATGTAAATTTATGATTACAACCTAGTAGTTGTAACGTTTTACGTATAATTGTAAACCTGCATAAGTAGAACAATGTAAAATTTATTTGAATACATTTTGTAGTCCAAAAAAAGGTACTTTTGTTTTCAAAACTTTGCATTTAATTTTGCATAACTGCTATAGTCTTACCATTCACTAATCGTCATTTTCTGCTACAGATTCTTGTTTACATGATTCTAAATATCCATACTGACTTAGCTCATGAATTACTCGTAGTGTGACGTAATCACTTACTAGAATCGATCAGCTGATGCAAAATGAACCATCCATCGCTCATTGGTCTAAGCACTCGAATTTCAATTAGTGGGTCACTTATTTAAATCCGGTCACACCAACTGAGATTTCGACTGTCAGATAGTTTTATTAGGCTCATTGTCTACTGTATCAGCGTACAATTGGTTCCTGAGTTTTATTTTAGTTTTGTCTGCATGCTAAGGGAAGAAGTAATTGTCAAGTTGCAAATAGTTGTTCGAAGTTTATCGGCCAATTTCTCAAAGAAACAATTCAGTAGAATGAAATTACCGTTTAGCGTAATTTGTTTTCTTGTGCACATATCATACGGTTTTACGGTAACACTTTGATTACCTCACCAATCATGGTGATTTGTATCGATAGTGAATGATACTTTTTAAAATTTTCGTTTAGCAAAATAAAAGCTGGTTTACTAGGCAGAAGCGTGTAAATTTAGATCATATCTATGTATCAGTGAACACATTTCCTTAACTTTATACTTACTTGGAAAAAAATAAATCCAGTAAAATACTTTGCAAGTTGGGCAAGAAGAATCTGCTGTGACGATTCGATCCATAAGGAGTTAGAGTATATCCATCATACATTGATTGAAATGCACTGTTCCAATAGTTTCACAAGATGGCATATAGAGAAAAAAATTGGGGGGGGGGAGACTAATCTGGCTCATTTGGTGTACAGAAGAAATCGCTGGTCATGAAACTCCAATTCAGTATATATGTAACCAGTGAAATTCTACATCAAAGACTATCTAGTTATTGAGAGGACTTCCTACGCTATCAAACTCTGTTTACAATTTTCTAGACAACTGTTGTTGCTCAGTTAAAAATTATGCAGTTTTGCTGTTCTTGTAGAGAAAGCTATACGTGGCGTACTGCTAGGCAGCTTAGCAGATTTGTTGGTGAGCATCTGCTTTCATGGTGGAGAAAAGAATAAGCTACTTTTTTAAGAAGTTCAGTTTTATTGCATTCCGCTCTTCAGTAGTCACAGTAAACAACACGAAAGTGATCCAGACTGTTTATTGGATACCACTGAGTCTTTCGTATAGAGTTCGGTCTTTTTTGGTACTCATGACTGAAGCTGTCAGGATTCTAGCTAATAACTACAGCTTTTGTATTCAGAAAAGGTTTGTCGTTCACTTATTTTTCCTTCCTGACCTTGGAGGATTTAATAAATGACACTTCTAGTAATTCATTCTAGAGGTTAGTAGTGGTTGGTTGATTTCAAGGTAGTACTGTTCAGGGATTCAAATCAAGTCACGGGTGAGAATATACATCCATTGATGACAAATGGATGATGGTCGTGCTATATCATGAACTGACAGAGTTAAGAAAGTGCGGACCATTGAATTGCAGTTCAGTGACGAAATGGTAAAGCTCTCGTCGTGAGACTTAACGCTCCTAGGCGTCATCCCTCATGGGATCATGAGTACATACTCCTGAGGAGCCCCATACTACGACAAAATAGCTTCCGGGTGCTCTTGAGCTTTCAATGATCCTCCAACTCATATCCGTTGTAGATACAACCTTAAAATGACTTAGCTGTTGAGATGTTTTCATCTTTCTCTAGTTTCTCTCTGTCTTTATGCACCTATTTTATTTATTCAGACTTGTATTATGCACTTTTTAAATCTTCTAGTGTTACAAAACTTTTATTTTCTTATGTTTTTCTCATTGTTATCATCGTCTATAGCACAACTATCATCATTGCTAGTAGCTGTAGTGACTAAACCATTTGTCATTTCAAGGTAATGTTCATCAACGATTGGTATCAGTTGTAGGACCATTGAAAACCTGAGGGCACTAGGTAACTGTTTCGTCGTAGCATGGGACTCCTCGGCAGTTTGCATCCACAATCTCTCTAGGGATAGAAACCAGGGCTGTCAAGTCTCCCAGCGAGCAAGTTAACTATCCAATCACTGGGTCGGAATCCAGTGGTTCACATTTTCCTACTCTTGTTAGTTAGCGATATAATACAACCACTACCCGATGCCACCACTGAGTATTTGTCCTCATGTCCCACTTTGTTTACTATACAGATCACGACTTCTCATTAGAACTTCGAGACATCCCATCTCGAAGTATGAGATGTTACTCATCTACGTACTGTATCGTATCGTGTGCCTGAACCAGTACAAATCTTGTATATTACACTGTTAGCCCCATCTGTAGTGTGATGGTTACTGTCCAGTTGCCGGGAACATAGTAGGTGGAGTCGATTTGATCCAGGACTCATCATTTAGGATTTGATTACTTAGACCAATAAGCCACAGTTTCATTTTCGTAATATGTATAGAAGTTTGAATATTGGAGTAAAGCCGGAGGAAGATGTAACTGAAAACAAAATTATTCACTGACACGTCAAATTTTGATATTACTAATTATAAATGATGATAATATTGACTAACATTTTTTCACTGGATGGTTAAACCAGCTTATTGCATCAATCCATGAAGTCAGCGAATTCTGTTTCTTTGTACTATCTAAGAAAGTACAGGCTATCTGAAATGTTTTCGATGTGTTAGGAATCACTGACTAAATCATTCTGTACTGATGAGAATGGTATATATTTTATCTTGCTTACAATCTTTTGCCTTCTATTACTGTGCATCTCACCATATTATGTTTGTTTGTGTCTTTATTGTACATGATGAAAATTGCTAATCATATTCTCCTTCTATATAGTTATAAATTGCGCTGACTTGGATTAGCAAAGTTTGAGACAGAGTTCTGTATTGTACTACTCATCAATCTCTCTGTATGATATAAATCATTTATTCATTGAAGATGTCTAGTGAACTTATGGTTGTATAATTTGATTTGGTGGTTTTTATGGGGATTTATTCGTCATGAACTGACATCATTTGGGGAAAAATTGGAAGTCTAGGAGCACTGAACAGCTGTTTCTTCCTAGTATGGGACTTCTTAGCAGTGCAAACCTATGACCCCGCCTCGCCAGGGATTGAA